AAGGTCTCCCTGTTGAGCTGGAAACAAGAGAGGTCTGTGGCTCCTTGATCCTGATTCCATTCCTGTCCTCCTCGCTGCTTGCACTTCTTTTGATACTGAAGGCGGATTGTTTCCCAACCTTACTTTTGGATCATGTTTGGGACCCTCTGTGTTTGACCCTGGCTTTTTTGAGACTATGCTGCACCTCGAACCCTGCTTGGGTAGGCGCTTGGATAAATGTGTTTTACCTCCTTAGGCTGAGATCCTGGCTCCTGAGGGCAGCCCTTGGAGTGGCGTATTAGTGCCAGGGGATACCAGGGTTTGGACATTTATGGGGCAGGGTAGTCAGAGTCCTAGTCTGTTAGGTAACAGGTTGGAAGGGCAACAGGTTCAATCATCAAATGTTGTCCCAGGAAGTTTTAAACTACTAAGCAAATAGGATAAGGTTTCTGCTTGGCACCTTAGAACATTCTCTGGTCACCTGACATTAACAGCCTTACCTCTCTCTTAGCAATGAACTGACAACAGTTAACTTATGTCTCTACAGGCTAGCCTTCTGCATTCATTTATATTTAGCATGACCTACAGCTGAACTTTTATTCCTAGCACTGCCAGAAGTCTTTATAAAATATATATGTAAAGATAATTATCTTGGGGGACTAGGTTTTTTAAAAAAACACAACGGAAAGAGCTAAAAGCTGTTATTACCTTTGCTTTGGCTTGGCAATAGCTGGCAAGAGCGGCAGAGTGATGGAGGGCAGCCAGCGAAGTACTCCCTGAGCACCACTTCTATGAACTGTGCTTCATCTCACTGCTCTCCTCGGGGCTTACCCACAATGTAGCTTTCCGCTGCTAAAATGTGCATACTGGCAATTCACTGCCTGTGCTGGCCTTTTTATCTGGCCGCAGGCCCTTCTCCTAAATTGCTGAGAGGCACAGTGAATGGTGGCGCCAGGGCCCATCCTGCCACCCAGCTGAGCATCAGGATAGGGCAGGAGCCTTACTTCCTCCTCCAACACCAACACCCCCAGGCCAACTCTGACAGGCAGCCAGTAGCAACCACCTGACACAATGATGGCAGGTGACCCATGCTCCTTTGCACCTGCGGTTTGAAGTAAAACCGTGTAGCTGAATGCAACGGACAGCTGATTGTGGGTGCTTTGCTCTGGAGATCCTGGCAGCCCTTGCAAAAGGCTTACAGGTGCCACCAATTGGCTGGTTGGTGGTACCTGCAAAACCCGGTTTCAGCCACGAGCCTTATTTTCATCTGCCCCATACCCCTTATGGTATATGATGCCAGGTAGGCTTGGCCAAGTATCAAGAGGTTTCCCACAGTTGGTCTGAAAAAACTTAACGTTTGGAATGGATCTTGCAGGCCACCCAGCCCCTGTTTAAATGCCCCCTCTACTGGTCATAGAGTACATCCCATGTGCAGAGGCAGCAGAGACCACCAGGTGCAGAGGAGAAACAAGGGAGGAATGCAGCTGCCTGCATTTCTTGCCCATGGACTCGTCAAAGGCATTTGGCTGGCCCTCATCCAGCCAGACACTGTCAGGGGGAAAGGGTTAACGGAGCCTTGTTCAGAGATATCATCGGATGAGGAGCCTGGAATAGCTCAGTCAGTAGAGCAGGAAACTCTTAATCTCATGGTTGTGGGTTTGAGCCCGTTGGGCAAAAGCTTCTTGCATTGCAGGGGGTTGGGCTAGATGACCCTTGTGGTCCCTTCCAGCTCTACAATGCTGTGTTTCTATGATCCATTGCCGTCATTAGTCCTGCAGAACTGTCAGGATCAGGCATGGGTTGGCAGACTGACACAGGAGGAGGAGGAAGAAACGGGGGCAAAGGCTGAATGGGGAGAATCTGGGTTGGATTCCCATCTCCAATCAGATTTTGGTCATTTTGGAAGGGGGAGCAGGGGTGCCAGCTCTCCTCTCTGACCTTCCTGAGGAACAGGGAGCCACAGTGGAGGCTGGGGAGCACTTTGGACAGCTGAGAAGAGGAGAGGCTGAACAGGAGGCGGCTGTGACTACACAGGAGCCTAAACAGGGAGAGTGCAGCCTTGTCGCCTAGGACCAGGTGCCACCTCCGCAGATGGGAGCAGACCCACCCCCTTCCAACAGAGTGCACACCTGCAATTCTGATATTCCCATCGGGCGAGAAGGTCACCTGAGTGAACACACAACATCTTGTCCATGAAAGGTGCTGGGAGGGGCAGGAAAACTTGTTGGGACATCTTCATTGCTCCCTTCCAGTTCTCAGCTCCTTGCTCTGCTGCAGAACTCCTGAATTGTGATTCCTGAGTACTGTGTTTGCTGCCGAGCCTGTCCTGTTATTTGCCTGAATAAATATATCCTACTTACTTACAAGGAAGAGCTTCTGTCTCTCTGTGCTGGGAGGGAGCCAGGACAGTTCCACACAATACAAGAATCAGGCTTCAGTGCAGTGGCACCTACATTCTCATCCTTTCCCATTAAGGTATTAGTCATCTCTGTTGTCTTTTTTGGTGCCTACTGAAGACTCTCCTCTTCCAACAAGTCTTTTAAATGGAGATATTTGATCCGAGTCTACATCTATTTTAAAGCTGTTTATGTATGGTTTTTTAAACTTTGTATTGTTTTGTATGAGAATTTTTAATTTTAATTTTTGATATATGGAACGTTTTGAACTTACTTTTACATTTATTCTGTTTTGTTTTATGTAATTGCATTTCTTTTTATAATTAAATATTTTACTGTTGTAAACACCCCACAAGGGTCTTATGGGTAGAGGGTGGGCAAGAAAGCTTCTAAGTTAAGAAATAAACAAAAGAGCAGGGCTTTTTAATCTCCAGCAGGAAGATGGGCCTGCTGGACTGACTATGGGGTGACCACTGCAAGGGCTCACGTGCAAGCACAGAATCCTACAGCCAGGGTGAGGGCAAGACATCAGGTCTGAGGTGCCCTGGGAGTGATGCAATCACAATGGCTGGGGATGGAAGGATCAGCGTGATTAAAAAAACTTTTCTGGATTAACCAATACACTGCATTGGACCTCCTCCAGAAACTATGGGTAGCCTGACTAAAGGGGAGGGGCTCTCCTGCATAAGCCATTCGCTGGACGCCAAATGCAGACTGAACACACTGTGAGCACCTATAATTGGGCAAAGAGAGAATGACGGCCTCCCATAACTCTAAGGTAGCTATAGCATATTTGACTTATTTAATTCATTTTCAAAGTATCTGTCTCAGCAGCAAATCTATAAATCATTGTCTGCAAGCTTACTGTCTCATTTAGATGAAAGCCAAGATTCCCTGTGTGTTTGGGAACCAGAACTTTAAGCAGATGCCTAAGAATCAGAGCCAGTAACCTTCACTCATGTTTAAATACGGCTACTTCATTACTGTTTGGGGGGGGTGCGCGCACACACATCTGGCCTGCTTCCACCCTAAGGAACAATTTGTGCCCCCAATGAACCAAAGGCTCTTGTTTGTTCCTGCAAGTGCCCAACCCTCACTTGATGAATGGCTGTATGGGAGTATGGATCCAAGAGGCATTTAATGAAATTGACCGAGGCTATGCACTAAACCACAAATCACCTGTCACCCAGCGAAAGCAGACACTTGTCCTAATCAAGAACAGGCCACTGGCATGAGATGTGACCATATTGCATCACATGACCTTCTTTAACCCCTGACAATGGGCATCGATCCTGAACAGTATAAGCACCAGGGCCATAAAGTTGCCCTTTCAATTACTGTCACTGGCAATGCGAGGCTCGAAGAGCCAAGGCGCCACAAATCATTAAGCAAGTGCAAAACCCCACTGAGGATAGCAGTGCAATAAGTCAGCGACTTTTAAGCTGCTGGTTACAGGAATGGTGCCCATCCACAGGCCGTTAAGAGAAATTTGCAGGCTGTTCTGCTAGCGTACAGGAAGTCATATTTCTTTGGCAACAAACACAACTCTCACTCCTAGATCCAGATACTGTCTCTCACTGCTGGGTGACTGGGACTTGAGTCCTCAGGACTGTGTAAAAGCAATCCCTCCCCTCAACCTGTTTAGGGAAGCTTTTAATGTTTGATGTATCATAGTATTTTAAAATTCTTTTGGAAGCCGCCCAGAGTGGCTGGGGAAGCCCAGCCAGATGGGCGGGGTATAAATAAATTATTATTATTATTATTATTATTATTATTATTATTATTATTATTATTATTATTATTATTATCAACCCCCCCCCAATTTCCTTTCCAATTCCTCCCCTTGCCCCACTCCCCAATTGATAAGAAAACCTAAACAATATAAAATCAAATATGAGGCATTTAAACACCCAGAATGTGAAGTTTCTGATCAAAAGAACTTTTGGCAGATGGAAGCAAAATCCTACGAAGCTCCATAAATTACAACACACGAAACAACTTCCCTTCTCTGGTCCCTGAAGGCATTAGTGATGGGTTAACATGCGTTGAAAAGTCGGTGTCCCTTACAATCCTTTAATTGCCTGTGATTGGTACACACAAGTCAACCCCACCCAACTGAAAACCAGACACAGTTCTACAGAGGCCCTCACTCCATTCAGGAAAAACATGATTTCAAATCTCCAGACACCAACATTAAACCTTTTTTTAAAAATGCTTAGGTAACTTGGCAGCTGGGTTTAGGTATTAAGATTGCTTCTATAAGGGTTCCTCCATATGACCTATCCATTCAGCATTCATCCTTGCTTGCAGGCATAAAGGATGGATTATATCTGGTCTTTACTGAGAATTTGTGCTGATTTGTTTGCGGGGAGGTTACATAACAATGAGTATCCATCCTGATTTGCTTCCTTTTAATCATTTGCTCACCCCACACTTCGCAATGCAATCCCTGTCACTTTCCTAACTGCAAAACAGTAAGTTTCTTTTTTAATGTGGATTTGTTGTGCCACGGCAAGAAAGCACTTTAATAATCCACTTTAATTTTGCAAACCTTTCCCAAAATACGGAGTGTCTGGAGGCCTCTTAACTCTTCCAAGTTTCCCACTCCATTTGCTCCTCACTCACTTGCTTTTGTCACCAGCATCCTGCTCGTCCATCTCATCGGCACTGCATGTGGCACTGGAGTCGCTGTCAGGATTTGCTCCCTTCCCAGCTTTGTGGTTCTCCTTCTTTTCTGCTTTGGGTGCTCCCTCAGCCCCTGTCACAACACTGGTGCTGGTGCTGGTGTTGCTGTTTTCTGTGACCTGGTCACTGTCCTTCTCCTGGTAGACCTCTCCCTTCTCCATTTTTATTTCACCCCTGCTGGGTTCTGGGCTCTTGGGCTTTTCCTCGGCCTCTTCCGTTTTCACCACATCAACTGTTTGCTCCTCTTGTGGCTTCTCTTCAGTGCAAGTTGGTTCAGGGGCCTCCTCCTCCACTGCTTGGATGGTGGCAGGATTTGCTTCTGGGGAGCTAGCGGTTTCCTCCATCTTAACAGCCGGTTCTTCTCCAGCATTGCTTCTGGTGTCTGGGGCTGGTTTGGGTCCATTCTCTGTGCTCTCTTTGGCTTCTGGTCTTGGAGAAGGGAGGCTCTCTGTGTCTGAGCTATTATTCACTGCAACTGGAATTAGAAAAACACATTAAGAACACAAGATCAACCCAGCTGGGTCAGGCCAGTGGCCCATCTAGTCCAGCATCTGGTTCTCACAGTCACCAACCAAATGCCTACGGGAAGCCCACAAGTGCAACAGCCCTCTCCTCCCCGCCTGTGGTTCCCAGCAACCACTGCTTCCGACAGTGGAGGGAGCACTCAGCCATCTATCCTAGTAGCCACATTATTTTCTATTTATACTTGGTGTGGTAGCATTTGCTGTGCCCAAATAGTAACACATAAAGCTATGAGCCCCCACCCCACATCCCCAAGCTGATTTATTTATTTTTTAACAGTCTGAACAGGGCATGGTGCAAAGCTAGAAATTTGATAATGATTTCCCTAAACTGCATTGGGTGCATGGCATACACCACAGAGTGCAAATCTTCTTTTCTATGCACCTATTATTTTTTATTATTATAGGCAATATTTTAAAGATGGAATTTTCACTACAGATACATTCAAGGATATTGTCTTGACACCTTCTTTTGAAGCAGCCACACACACACACACACCCCACCCTCCCCACACCTGTATACCACACTTAAACACAGCACATATTTTTACACAATGTACACCTTCCCCATGCTACACATGTGAATATGACTCATCTAGAATGATTTATAAAAATGTCTTGCTTGTGCTAGACTGTCTGCAGACTTACAACTTAAAAATATATCCAGGGCTACAGCTGTAATAACACAAGGAACTGTCCAAGCAGTTTGCTTAAAAAGGACCTAATCAATCAATGTCTCAAACAGAAGGTTGCTCTCCTATAATCACAGATAATCAATAGGAAACTTAAACTACCCCTCACTTCAAGTCAAAATCACTAATATGGTCTAGAATCGCTCTCTACTTCACCTATAGGAAACCACTGAGGGGGCGGAACTCTGCAATGCTTTATCCAAGGGATGGCCAATTGGCTGTCTACTAGCTGGATTCATACCCCAAAGGAATATAATTTACCCACTGGCTACTGAAGGTGTGGTAAAAGTTTGGACCATCACTTTCACTAGTGAGGGGAAGGGTCTTTATTTTTATAGGTATAGGTTGAATACAATGCTAGTCCTACTCAAGGTAGACCCATTGAAATGAACAAAAATGACTAACTGAGGCCTATTACTTTCAGTGGATGTACTCTGAGTAAAATTTAGTTGAATACTGCTGGAAGTGTCAGGGTGCAGCTCCACTTACGCTGTAAGCTGATGTACCTACATGAGAAAGGGTAGACAGAGAGGAACTGCCAAGCTTCCTAGACTGTCCTCCTTATGCTGACCTTCCTTTGGTGTTAAGATGGGTGCTCTTAGGGACGGGTTGCCGTATTTCAAAAAGTAAAAATCTGAATCTGGACATTTTTTTGGGCAAAGTTGTTGAGCTTTTATGGCAAAATCGCAAAAAATGATGTTTTTGAGCTATTTTTATGGAAATTGGCAAAAACGACCCTGCCGACATGGGTTGCCATATGTCTGGATTTTCCCAGCCATTTTGCTGATTTCCACCCGGACACTGCTTCCGACTTGAGTATTCTGGATATGTCTGACCTGGCCCCGCCTCCTCCTCCATGAGACATACTTGGAGCTTTCTCCTGCTGAAGTGAAAGAGAGGCATGGCTTCCACCTTAGACAGAACTAGATCTTTCCTATCAAACATGCATTTCCTGTAGTAAGCATAGCTTTCGCATTTTGCAAATTCAGGGCTCATCCCTATTTCCTTTTGTGCCATGCTTTCTAGGTACCGCCATAGGATTTCCAGGTCTGAATCGTAGAATTGTAGAGTTGGGAGGGACCAGGAGGGTCATCAATTGTAACTCCCTCAATGTAGGACTCTTTTGTCCAATGTGGGGCTTGAACCCAGGACCCTGAAATTAAGAGTCTCATGCTCTACTGACTGAGCTATGCCAAGTCAAGCGGTTTCCCTTGGAAAACCCATGTTTTACCATTGAATTGGAGCTAATCTGCAGAAAACCCAATTGCAGTTTGCTCTGATTTAGCGGTAATATGTGGGTTTTCCCAGGGAAAGCAGTGGAAGTTAAAAAAAACCCCTGCTTGGGCACAGAGCTGGAAATCCCAGACCTGTGCCTTAAAACGTGGCACAAAAGGAAGTGTGGATGAGTCCTTAGTCTCAGTGTGATTATATCCAGGGAAACAGATGCTTCTCCAATAGAGATTCTGCTGAGCATTTAAACTCTGAATGCCATCAGGTGCAACCCTGTGTGTGTGAGAGAGAGTAATAAAGAGTTCCACACTTGAATGTTACATCTCCATCTGGCTTCTGCATGGGATGACCTCGCATGTCTGAGTGCTTATGGCTCATAACTGAGCAGTCCTTACTGCAAAGTGTTGCCTCTGTCATTACAGAGCCTGACTACCCAGGAAGCGGTTGGTTTGTATGACAAGATATGCTTCAGAGCCCTGGAACACTGACTAGAGAAGAAGACATCTCTTGAGCATACTGAAATGGGCCATCTCTGCCTAAACAAAATTTTCATCCAGACAAAACAATTGTGGTCCAAGCAGTCGTGATTTGTTGAATAGGGAACAAGATGTGTGCCCACAGGTTCCCCCTTCCCCATTACCACATCCCTTAATTCAATACTTCCCAAACTGGGAAAGTATGGTTTGAATGATCACTAATAACCAGAATATTAAATCACAGTTGGATATCCTGTTTTTAGGGATCTCTAGAGTCACAATGCTTGTTGTTCAAACACATGGGAGATAAAAGTTTAAGAAACCCAGAAGTATTGATTTGAACACACAGGGAGAGAGGTGTGGAGGTAGGTTGCTGAACCAGAATTGTTATTTCTGAATTAAGCCACTGACCACAGTGTTTATAGGTGCTAAGTGTTTATAGGTGCCCCTTGGATTTACTTCAGTATTTGTCTTATGAAGATCCTTAAGGTTAATAAGATACCTTCTAATATCCACTGAATACAGTGGTGCCCCGCAAGACGAAATTAATTCGTTCCGCAATTTTTGTCGTCTAGCGAATTTTTCGTCTTGCGAAGCACGGTTTCCCATAGGAATGCATTGAAAATCAATTAATGCGTTCCTAGGGAAACCGCTTGCCAGGCTGGCGGTGCGGAGAAGGGCTTTTCTCCCCACCGCAAGCCTTCAGCACAGGTACGGGAACAGAGGGGAAGGCGCGCAGCGCTTTCCCTCTGTTCCCGGGGCTTGCGTGGGAGGAGGGTTTTTCCTCCCCACCGCCAACATTCAGAACAGCATTCTGAATGTTGGCGGTGGGAAGGAAAACCCTTCTCCCACCCCAAGTCTTCAGGACAGCCATCCGAAGGCTGGCGCGGGGAGAAGGTCTCTCCGCCCCCCCCCCACGCCAGGCTTCGGTGCATCCTTCAGAGGCTGCTGCCATAGTCACGCGTCACTTCTCCAGCTGGGAGGGTCGCGGGGCTATGGTTTCTTTAGCCCCGCGCGCGCTCTCCCGGCTGGAGAGGTGACGGGCGCCTATGGAGGTTCCTGCCATATGCGCGCGTCACAACTCCAGCTGGGAGAGGGTCGCGGGGGGCTGGTTTAGCCCCGCGCGCGCTCTCCCGGCTGGAGAGGTGACGGGCGCCTATGGAGGCTCCTGCCATAGGCGCGCGTCACTTCTCCAGCTGGGAGAGGGTCGCGGGGGGCTGGTTTAGCCCCGCGCGCGCTCTCCTGGCTGGAGAGGTGACGGGCGCCTATGGAGGTTCCTATGGAGCTGTTCCTGGAACAGCTTTCCGAAGTGGGGCGGCTGGGGCAGATGTCCCCGCCCCCCCTCCCCTCTTCGGAACAGCTTTCCGAAGTGGGGGCGGCTGGGGCAGATGTCCCCGCCCCCCCGCCCCACTTCGGAACAGCTGCAAAAGACGTCAGGGGGAAGCGGGGAAGCGAAGCGCTTCGCTTCCCCGCTTCCCCCGACGTCTTTTGCAGCAAGGGGCTGCAGGGAGATCGCTATCTCCCCCCATCCCCTTGCTTCAGAAGAGGTCCGGGGGAAGCGGGGAAGCGAAACGCTTCGCTTCCCCGCTTCCCCCGACGTCTTTTGCAGCAAGGGGCTGCAGAGAGATCGCTATCTCCCCCCAGCCCCTTGCTTCAGAAGAGGTCCGGGGGAAGCGGGGAAGCGAAGCGCTTCGCTTCCCCGCTTCCCCCGACGTCTTTTGCAGCAAGGGGCTGCAGGGAGATCGCTATCTCCCCCAGCCCCTTGCTTCAGAAGAGGTTCCGGGGGAAGCGGGGAGCGAAAGCGATTCGCTATCCCGCTTCCCCCGACGTCTTTTGCGAGCAAGGGGCTGCAGCAGGAGATCGCTATCTCCCCCCAGCCCCCTTGCTTTCAGAAGAGGTCCGGGGAAGCGGGGAAGCGAAGCGCTTCGCTTCCCCGCTTCCCCCGACGTCTTTTGCAGCAAGGGGCTGCAGGGAGATCGCTATCTCCCCCAGCCCCTTGCTTCAGAAGAGGTCCGGGGGAAGCGGGGAAGCGAAGCGCTTCGCTTCCCCCGGACGTCTTTTGCAGCAAGGGGCTGCAGGGAGATCGCTATCTCCCCGCAGCCCCTTGCTTCAAAAGAGAAGACCCGCTGTCCCCGGGGCAAGCTTCGTTTTGCGAAGCAAGCCCATAGGGGAATTCGTCTTGCGAGGCAAATCGCGGACGAAAAAACCTTTCGTCTAGCGAGTTTTTTGTCTTGCGAGGCGTTCGTCTTGCGGGGCACTACTGTAGTTTAAAACTGAGGAAGAATCTGGTGCAGGAGGGGGAGGTTACTGTCAAAGTCACAGACTTAGAAAATTAGAGTATATGAATTTGAAGCTAGGTAGGTGGACATCTGCATATTTTAGCCATCTTTGTGTTTGTGAAATGGGGGGGGGGGAGGAAAATCTTTTCCATAACTTTCTCATTCTCTCCAAAAAAATTCCAGTCTGTTCTGATGGATCTTAGTATGTTTTGCCTAGAGAGCAAGATCTCTCCATGTAAAAAAAAATTATAAAAATAATTCAGCCTCCTCTGAACCTCAGTGAGGCAGTGTTTGTGCTGGCTGCCAAAAAACCCGTCTCCCTTCAGACCATCTGTGAAGAAATCTAGGGAGCCTTCCAATATGCCCCCCATCTAGTCAAAGAGAAGGGAAAAACATGTCAAGGTCAGTAAGAAATTAAATAAAAAAGAATCTGACAAACACCTTCCAAATCCTAAGGACCAGGTTAATAATTAAAATGTGAAGAACTGCCTGGAAATCTTGCATTCCCCTAAAATGGAAATGCAGCTAACTATTAATAAAAGAAGAGCAAGAGGTGGAGTCACTTTGTGGGGAGGGGCATATTACATTGCTGCAGATTTGGCAAAAGATCCCCCCACTGCTGTGGTTGGCCAGAGTGAGCTGGTAAAACCTGTGTGCAACATGCGGAGTACAAACAATTCAGACCCAACTGAGAGATACTGTTAGAGAAAGAAGTGTGTGTGCCTGGATCACACCTCACAGAAGGGGGGGGGAGCCTTTTTCAGTCTGACATCCACATTCCTTTGGGGGCAGGGGCACGTCAGTGGTGGGTGGGACCAGAGGCAAAAGCAACAAAAACTAAATTTTGCAGGGTGTCTCTCAGAAGCTCTGGAGAGCAGCTGCCAGCCAATGTAGACATGAAACTGCTTCCATGTGCAGGCCTGTTAAACTCCGTCTTCTTGGTAGTGGCTTGGTTGTGGGTCCCCCCCTCCAAAATTAAAACAGTTGCAGTAGCATGGAGAAGATCCTCTGGTGTGTGTCATGCAACTTCATGTGAGTAACAGTGGCCATGGGCCACAATCTGAAAAAGAGGGCTCCCCACTTGCTTGGGAACCGCTTCTACGTGAATGGGTTTTGCATGGACAAGTTAACATTTCAATGACCCAGCCACTTGCACAGGGACAAACCGCTTGGGTCTTAACGACAGAATCAGCACCCTCCCTGGATGGGAAGGTGCTGGTTCCCCCACAGAAATCTACGTAGATGGCTGCAGTTGGCCATTTCACCACTACCTTCGTCACACAAGACCCACTGCTGTGTCCCCGTATTCCTTTCCCCCACCGCATGGACATGCCACAAAGAGATTTCGATACACTTTATTAAATTTCCCTTGTTTGTTTCGAGTGTAGAATCTGGAATTTCTGGCACAGCGGAAGAAAAGCTTATAGTGTATATCTTTATATATCCTTTTTGGCTCACACAAGAAGTTTCTGACCTCTGGTGGGGTGGAGGGGACTGTGTTACATGCTCCACCCTAACTCTGGGATCGTATCCAAGAAGGGAATTGTAAGGATGGCAGAGTGAATTTGAGCGTGTGCTTTAAAATGGAGATTTCAGCAAATGTTGCCATAACTAAAGGAGAAAGTGAGGCATGAAGCCAGAATTCTGGACCGGGGCGGCAGGGAGGAGAGATGACCTCATCACAATCTGCAACATTCAGACATTTCCAGGTGCTAAGGGATCTGAATATAGAGTGAAGCACTCATGGGGTTTAGGGATTTTGTCTCAAAGTGTACTAGGTGGGGTGGGCGTAGATTAAAATACATTCAAAAATGGTTATATGCAGAAAGAAAGTCCCCACATATCTTGTGAAAGGAATGGAAGTGCTTTTGGGGGGCTATGCTGGATTCCTACCAAGTGGAATAGTATCCGCACAGCCTGGGGATATCTCAAAGCATTTCACATTTTTTGGCCTCTCCAACCAAATTCCAAGCATCACTGGAGTTTATTTACTTGCCATGCAACTGTGAAAAAACCAGTCCCTCGCTCTGCTCCAAAAGCAGACAATGAGGAAGGAATTTGCAGCATTCAGGCTGGGGTGGGTTTTGCCAAACTGCAGCTGCAGGGAATAGATGAGCCTGCTTCTATTCTCAGTTCAGAAAGGATTATAGCTTTGGGGGTTCAAACCATAAAACTTTTTTCTTTTCTTTTTTACTTCCCAAGGCAGTGAAGCGCCAGGGTGGGGTGATTGAGAAGATGTTGGAAATCCCATGGAAGAGGCAGTTGATCAGGAAGAACAATGCAAACCAATCATGGGAAAGAAAGGCCAGCAGTGCGTTTGAGCGAGGCTGGAAAAGTCCTGGTGTGATGAAACCACCTCTAGGCCTTTCTGAATGCACACATGCGCGCACACGCACACCCCCTTGGTATTAACTACACTGAAATGCCTCCCAAATGTCAAATGACAAACTGCTGAGGCAGAAGGCTGACCTGACATTTCTGCTCCTGTGACATTTTAGCCACCTTGGCTCAAAGGTCTGTTCAGTTTCATATCCCATTCTGGATAAGACAGTTATCCCTGTGCCTTGCCTTCAAGTTATATAGAACGGAGGTTGCAAAGCTCCCAACTCTGTCAGAGCGACCCGCCTTTTGGGGTGTGTGAGGAGCATACGAAAGCTGTCCTCAACATCTGAGCCTACTCTTACAACTTGAATCTGGATGATGCGCACTTTTTCTCACTGCTATCTCCCAGTCATGCCTGCTGCCCTGACACAGAAGATTTACCTGGAAACTGTTTTGCAATGAGGCACTTACAACCCTGATTTGAAAAGATTTCCAGTTGTGCATGCCATTAGCCCTTCACTCCAGTGCCAATGAGGTTTTGTGTGTTTTAAAGCTATTAAATCACTCCTACGTAAGTTAAATGGGGTGACTATTATAAGTTACACACACTTCTCCTAAGCTTGCTGGCTCTGCTCCCGAGTGAGAAATCACTATGGCTGAGCATTTTCAGTTCATCCTCTCCCTGCTCCCTCCCTATTTCTTTCTGGTGCCAACTGGACATTGCTTCAGCGGAATGGGGAGATATACCACAGCACACAGTCCACTCTACTTACTGATCATCCAGTGGCTATGAGGGGCCAAAATCAGATGTTGCACAACTGCCAAATCAGCCTCACAACTTCCCTATTCCCAAACTCTTGAACACCTTATATGCGTTGAGATATCACAGTGCTGCGTCTCTGTGTGTTTTCTCCCTCTTTCTCATGCCACACACTGCTCACTGGATGCTGCTGGTGTGGGGGGAACATGCTGTGTTGCAGCTTTACAACACAAGAAAGTGCTACCAGATGTTATGGAGGGAGAATCAAGGAGCTAGACGTGCAGCTGCTGTTGCTAGGGGGGCAGACCTGTGTATAGTGTAATGTTTAGTCTGGGCCTCAAACATTCAGGGGCCAGGAGGGGGGGACAACCCCCCCCATGAGGAGAGACTGCTAAATAGATAGATAAATTGCAATGAACAGAAGACAAGCCAACAATCTGAACTAAGAGAGGACACCACTTTGGGTGTGAAGCTGAGAGGGGGCACTGCCCTAGCTGTGAGCAGCACACGCATATTTAGATGTATGGGTTTCTTGGTTGATGCCCTATTTCCTAAAATAAACAAACATCCGGTCAGGCTCTGCAAACAAGAAACAGCATCTTTGTGAAGGAGCCTGGCTCTCTGCCTGCGTGAGTGAGGGCAGTCAAATGTCAGCTTTCCCACATCTCTGACACTGTGTGAAAGTTTCACCCTCACACATCCCTCAGGGCGCCAGCTTCCTCCCTTCTCTGCTGGGCAATTGCTCTTACAGACATACGGAAGCAGTGACATTTCCCAGGTTACGGAGAAAACCTCTCATGCCATTCCCCTTGGCAGGACAGCAACCGTGAGACAGAGTTGCCCGTCTACCTAGATGTCTACCTATCTGTCTACCTCAGACAGAACAAGTGGGGCAAGTACTTTACCTTCTGCATCCTCAGCCATCTCCTCCTCGTTGCCACTGGTGCCTGACCCATCTTGCCCCATCTCCTCGTCTTCGGCTGCTGGAGGGAAGGCCGTTTCCTCGTTTTGGACGGTGGGGGCTTTTTTCTTTTTTCTCCTAGCATTCCTTTCTTTCTCCTGGAAAAGACAGGGTGACAGAAGCAAATCTTGAGAAAACATCTTCCTGTACCCAATATGAGTACAGTTGGCATTCTCAGTGCAGATGCACTAGAAGTTGAGGGGGAGGGGGGAATGACAGGGTATTATTATTTTTAAACTTTTTATTAAATCTGTATACTGCCCTTCAACTGTAGGTCTCAGGGCGGTTCACAACGTAAATGAAAGGAGGGAGCACCTACCATTCCAGGGTAGAAGCATGGTTTTTTTTGGGGGGGGGGGTTGGAATGACCACTCCTGAAACTGGCGGGGGCTTAGGGCTGCCCAGGTACCTGGATGTATACTGACAGGGAATAATGACAACAAAGCATGGTGTGTAAGCAGAAGCCTGGAGCTAAGCCAGGATGGGAGTTTGCCTGTGAAGAATGGAGAGAACTGGGTTTGGGGGATGCTTCCTCTAAAACCAATCTCTGACCACTGTGAGGCTCCTTTAAGTTGTGGTGAGGACTGCCCTCTTGCAGGTTCAAGGACCAGCTAGAGGAAGGACCACAGCTTAGCAGTAGAGCATCTGTCTCAAAGGCAGAAGGGCTCCAAGGACAATCCTCTGGTGTCTCCAAGTGGGGCTGGGCAAACCTCCTTCCTGAAACCCTGGAGAGCTTCTGCCAATCAACACAGGCGATACTGAGCCAGGTGGACCAATGGTTTGACTCAGTATAAGGCAGCTCCCTATGTTCCCACGACGGCATCATGGAGGATACACACATCCTCTATTACGTAACTCACATGGGGTCCCCTTTATATCATTACTGTTTAGTTATTTGTATGCATTTTACCCCAGTACACAGACCATCTTAAAATCTACACATCCATTCCATGCTACAGAAGGCCTGAGGTTCAACTCCTAGCAGCTCCAGGTCAATATTAACAGCAGCAGCAGCAGCAAGAAGAGGATGAAGCAGAGAATGCTAAGTAGGGCCTCTCTGTCCGTGACCCTGGACAGGCATTGCCAGTCGAAGAAGGTAACACTGGACCAGAGGGACAAATAGTTTGAACTAGGGTAAGCCAGCTTCCTATGCTTCACAGTCCTGTGAAGGAAGGTGCTTAATATTCCAATTTTACAGATGGAGAAATGAGGATCACATGAGCATTCTGCAACCTGTTTCAGGGCAAGCTTTCTGGATAGGTTTCCAGAATAGGTTTCCAGAATATAGGTTTCCCTATAGCTCTGTATTTAAGGAAATGTTCACTGTTCTAACAAGCGCTAGCACTCCAACCCCCCAGTGTTGGAGGCAGTACCTCTGCTCCCCAGCTGCTGGGAATCACACATGGAGAGAGGACTGCTGCACTCCAGTCCTGCTTCTGAGCTTCCTAGCAGCATCTGGTTGGCCACTGTGAGAACAAGATGCTTGACTAGATGGGAGTCTGGCATTCTTAAAGCTTACAGGCCATCAAATAGTAACACTGCTGATGATCAGGGCTGAGAGTATTCTATGGTTTCATTAAAAGGCTGTGCAAAGGTGGGATCTGCTATAGAGCCAGAATTAAACACCCTGAGGGTATTTCAGTTTCCATAAAAAACATCCACGCCAAAGTTTCCGGCTCTCATCAGCCATGAAAATGAATGGCCAAGCAGCTAATCTGAGAAGCCTGAGTGAGATTTCTAACCACCAGCCAATAGGGCTTCAATGACCAGCTGTCGGAAGCAGAACAGATTGTTTCTTTTTTTAAAGCAAATTTGCTTTAAAAGCCTAGTTTGTTGTAGGTTGCCTGCATCTTGGTAGCACTGCTCTACGTTAGCGTGACATTGTTCAGTGTTAGCTTGATATTGTAGGCTTGGTCTGTCTCTCAGAGCTGCCAGAGAGAGAGTGGCATGACCCCCAATACAAGGGAGTAAGAAATGGTCCTCAAGCTCTTAGGCTGCACCTGCTCTCAGCTGACCCTCTCCAGAACTGAAGAGGAGATGCACAGGCCTGCTTCAGACCCCATCATATTGGGAAGCTGGACTGGCCTCACAAGCAGTGAGGTGCATTTCTGTGGGCTGGACGTTTGTCTCTCATGGCATCCCATAAACAAGGTTAAGATATTTTGCAACCACAAAAGCACAAGACATGGGATCAAGCTGAAGATTCAGGATCCAGCTTCCTGCCTCCCACAGCGGCTGGCAGGATGTGTCCATGGAAGCACACGACCCACATATTTAAAGCACCTTTACAGCACACAGCTCCCCCAAAAGAATACTGCAAACCTGAGTCTACCTCTCACGCAATGACAATTCCTAGCACCCTTCAAAAAACTACAGTCCCCAGGATTCTTTGGGGGGAAGCTTTAAATGTCTGGTGTGTACAAAGGAGACAAGCCCCCCCCAACCTTCTCCCTTTGCTGTTCCCCAGAGACTGTCAGTTCACAAGCAGGCTCCCTCTGAACCAGATAATGCTTTGTTGTTGCTGCATTTTATTGACAATTTCTACCCTTTTGCTCTTACTTTTTGTTTTATTTGAACTGTTTTATTGTTGTTTTGGCTAGCTTTATTGTAAAACAGTTGGAAACTGACTTGGGGGTGAAAGGCAACATAAAGATCCAGGAGACAAGCCAATGATTAACTACTTCAGCCTGATGTGTCAGATAGGCTGATGTAAATTCTTTTTATGAATCATTGTCTGGGTCTCATCCTCCTGACATAGCTAACACTGCAGGTGCTTTGCCAAACCAAGTTGTTGAAGATTTAGGGCAGATAAAGCAAAGTCCTTCTTCATGTAGCACATAGTCAAACTATGGAACCTGCTCCCCCAGGAGGCAGCGATGGTCACCAAATTGGAAGGCTTTAGAAGATGAGACCAATTCATGGAGGAGAAGAGGGCTATCAATGGCTGTGAGCCACGATGGCTGCGCTCTGCCTCCACAACTGGAGCCAATGCTTCTGAAGACCAGTGGCTGGAAATCACAGGAGGTGAGAATGATCTTGCTTGCTGGTTTCTCACAGGCATCTGGTTGGCCACTGTGAGAACAGGATGCTGGACTAGATGGGCCATTGGCCTGATCCAGCAGGACCTTCTTATGTCCTTAAGGTTATCACCATCTTCTTTTTTTGGAAAGATTTCACTCTCTCTAAGGAGATGCTTCTCTGCACTGCATCTTTGTATGCTGGGAAAAGCTTGTTGTGTGGGTTGTTAAAAGCAACCAAGTAAAAGCTCTTAAAAAGTGGTGCACCCCTACACACCTTGCCAAACACTTAATTGAGACGTTCCCCCTTCAAACAGAAATGGAAACATCACCTTCGTGATAATACTGAATTGCAAGAACAGGAAAATTGCTGCAACTAATCTTGATAACAGCCAATACCAAGATAAAAACAGCTTCCTCTCGTTTAATAACCATTTTGACAAAGTGTATTTTGAAGGTCTAAGGCAATATTAGGGACAATGCAAAAGGCTTTCACAAGAGTACAAAAGAGACACGTTCCATGTCAAACATTAATTACCTAACTGGTGTGGCTAAAAGGTCATGTCTTTCCCCTTTAAAACACAGGAGGAGTGGTGATCAGGAAAGGGTCCAACCCTGGGCCTCAAGTGTTTCAAAGGGAGAAGCTGTGTTTTAAATGCTTAGTGGCCGCTACACAACTGAATGCAATAGCTAAGTATCAATGCTGGTTTGGGGGAACCTTTGGCCTCCAGATATTGCTGGACTACAATTCCCAACAGCCCCAGCAAGCATGGCCAGTGGCCAGGGATGATAGGAGTTTTAGTCCAGCAACATTTGGAGGGCCAAAGGTTCCCCACACCTGAATCGATGCATCAAAGTCTGATGTTGAGTACAAAGCCCTATCAGCTGAGCAGAGGGAAGCAACCATTATCTTTTGAGGGCCATTTTCCCTTGGGAATAATCCATCAGGAGTCACATACCTCTGGTGCCAAAAGAAGGTGAGACCACCTTCTTTCTCAATCCCCAGCATCTCCAGGTAAGCTTGTGAGAGAATAATACCAGATACCACGGAGCACTGCTGTTAGTCAGGTGTTGACAATATTGAGCTACATGGGCCAATGATCTGACTCGTACAAGGAAGCTCCCTGGCCTCCTCGTGAATCGCTACCTGCATGAAATTATGCCAATGGTCACAGCAGAACTGGGGCAGGGAATCTGCTTGGTCATTGGTCTAAGACAGTCTTCAACTTTGGGTCCCAGATGACAACGTCCACCATTCCTGACCACTGGTTAAGCTGGATGGAGATGATGGGCAGCGTCTAGGACCCAAAGTTGAAGAATTCTGGCCTTAACAACTAAGTTACTCTGCTCTTCCTTGCACTTACTATGGGTCATCTTCAGCTAGTTTAATGCTACCCCAAACCTGGCAGATGATACAAATTTGCCAAATATAAAATTGATCTTCTATAAATGGCTGAGTTACACCTCAGGGAAAGTCTTCCTAAACAAAAATGTATCAGGAGATGCTTAAACATCATCACACTAGCCACTGGTCTGATTTCAGCTGATAATTGGTTCCAGAGAGCTGCAGCTACAACACTCAAAGCCTGGTTTCTGCTGCTGCTGCTGCTGTTATTTATATACCACCCTTATCCAAAGATCTCAGGACAGTGTACAATATTAGAAACACATTACAAAATATCAATGATAGAAACATAATAAAAAGATAGTTAAAGGCATACTGACAGAGAGACAGCCTAATAGTAAAGTAATTGTAATATTAACAACAGTCCTGGGTAAAGAGGAATTTTTGGCACCAGGCGAGCCCCTCTCCACAGTCGGGGAGCTAAGTACAGGCTAAGCACAACTCTGGGGCAAAGAGTCCTCTCAGTAATGCCCCATCTGAGCTATGCTTAGATACTTGCACTTATGGGCTTCCTAGAGACATCTTACTGACCAGCTATAATAAACAAAGATGATGGACTAGATTGACTTCTTGTCTATCTTGGCATGATTCTTATCTCCTTTAGTTAGGTTTGAGGGCTTTGGTTCTTTTTGTTTACTTTTTAAATAAACAAAATAATGTTCTTCTTCTTGTTGTT